CAGGGCCTGTCCTTGGGGATCGTGGCCGTGGCTCACGGGGACACCGCTCGGGCAGGATGTGGGGCTGCCGCAGGGTCCTGTGGTCCCCTGGAGATGCTCGAACCCCTGCAGTCCCACACTCCTGGGCCCGCTAACTGTTCTCCTACGTAGAGCAGCCTTGCAGTCCCTGAGCCCCGGGCACAAGGACCAACAAGGGGCCAGCTTCCCTGCCGTCTTCACCCTAAGGAAGCCTGCCCTCGGGCCCAGGGCTGCGTGGGCACTGTCCTCCCTCTCCTGTCGCCCGGGCACTGTGGCTGGTGGAGCTCCTGCAGGTGCCTGCCTGGCGGATGGGCACAGTCTGGGCAGCAGCCTGGCCCCAGCCCCACCCTGCTGTCCGCTTGCCTCGGGCCTCACCCTCAGTCCTCATCCTCCACCCACTGGGCATGATGGTGCCTGCCCTCCAGAGCTCAGGCGTCTGGAGCGGCCCGTCCTCCACCGGTGCTGGGTCCCAGAGCCATCCCCCAGTCCCAGCCCTCATTCAGCCCCACTCCCCAGGCTGTGGCCTCCCTGGGCTCACGGGGACCTTGCCAAAATCCATGGCAAGCATTGGAGCTGGCTGAGGCCAGCCTGACCTCTGAGCAGCACAGCGTGCCCCTGCCGGATGCATAAGTCCTGCTGGGGGTGCCCGTGGCCTGTGGAAGAGGCTGCTGTAGGTGGCGGGCCTTGTCCTCTGGGGACCTGTCCACAGCTGGGATGTGGAGCTGGATGATACACACAGACACACACACAGACACACACACACTCGCGTTCCTGGCGGCCAGCATCCATCACTCCTCATGTTCGCTGACCCTGACTTAGCGGCTGCTCCCCCCTTGGCCCACTGTCTCTGTCAGGGTTCCAGCAGGGTCCCCGTCAATGCCCTGGCGCTGTGCCCTGGAGTGGGGTGTGGCCACTCAGACCAGGGCCGTGTGGGTCCTCCAAGGGTCTCTAGACCGTCACCATCATTGAAACGCTGAGGCTCCCTCTCTGTGGGTGGTTTGCCGTCCAGTCCTGGGGGCGCTGTGCACCTCGCTTCACCTAGGTCTGGCCCACCCTCCTGGGGGAGCAGGCACCAGGGAGGGTGCGGTGCAGGGGTGCCCTGGGGCGGGGCGGGGGTTGGTCATGGTATGGGAGTGGTCAGCTCCCCCATCCCCCCGGCTCAGAGCAGACAGGACCTGCAGGATGCGGGGGCCGCTCCCCACAGGGTGACCAGACACCCCCTCCCAGGCTTAGTAGGGAAGAAGGGCCCTGGCGGGCGTCTGTGGCTGGACCCCTCCCCTGCTCCGGGCACCTGGTGGCGGGCAGGGCTCGGCCGTGGGGCCTGTCAGGGCTGGGTCCCCTCCCCTGCTGGCTCCGGGAGGGTGGCCCAGGCTGGATCCCCTGTGCAGAGCCCAGGGGAGGCCCAGCTTGCCCCTGACTGTGTCCTGGCAGCTGGGGTGTGCTCTGGGGGGTCTGCTCCTTGGGGCCAGGTCTCAGGTCTTTGCCCCCAGCAGATGGGCTCCTGGTGCCATCTGCATGTCCCCCTTTCCAGAAGCCCTCCAGAGGTGGCGCCCTTTCTTGCTCCCTCCTGCCCCTGCCTGGCCGAGGCTCTGGCCTGCCCTGGCCCGTGGCCTCCGTCCTCAGGGCTGTCCTCAGGGTCGTTCCCTCTGCAGTTTCCAGCTTCTCCCCTTGCCACCCCACGGGCCTCATGACCGCCCAGGTGTGATGTGGCATCCGGGGAGGGGTCAGGACTCCTGGTTATGTTAAGCATTCCTCTGTGGCCATTCTCCCTCTGGGGGCCCCCACCAGGCAGGCTTTGGAACGGGATGGCAGGGAGGACTGATAGCAGTGAGGACTGTCTCCTCTTGGCAGACTGGTCAGGCAGCAGGCAGGAGAATCTGGGTGAGTTCAGGTAGGGGAGTGGTGCCTGGTGGGCTGGCAGAGGTGAGAAGGGGCTTTCTGGGAGGACCTCGCTACCTGGCTCTCCCCAGTGGTAGGGGACTTCTCTGGGTGGGACTCGATTTTTTTCACTGAGTCCTGCCTGCCCTGGGGAGGAGCTGGAGCTAGTCTCTAGGGCATGGTTATGCTGAGCCTAAGGCCAAAGGCCAGCCCCATGGGCAGTAACAGTGACACCCTCCTTTCCTTTAGTCCCTTGGGGGGGTTCATCCTCATGGGCTTGTTACCCACAGGCTTGTACCCACTCTTGGATAGCTGCTTCTTCATTGCTGGGACTAGCCCAGTAGAGTGGTCAAGGTGGGGGTGGTCCAAGATTTCAGAACGCTGTCTGCTGCATCCCCTAGACCTGGCGGCGGGGGGAGGGCATGGCTGACATCAAGGGTAGCATCAGGAGCTCCCCCCGCTTGCCATACCTCCCGGGCACTTCTCTCTGTGCTCCACCAGGGATGCTGCTCAGGCTGTCTGGCAGGGTCCCAAACTACTAGCTCAGTTGCTTCATCCAGGGTTTTCCAGCTCCTCCATGTCTGCCAACCACCACCACCATCCCCCGACTTTGCTCTGGTGGTACCCGAGATGGCAGGAGATGCCCTGCATGCTGGGAAGCTGATGCCCCCTGCTGTGCTCCCAGTACCACTGCAGCCAATGGTCCACGCAGGAGCCTGGGGGTTGGTCTCAGAGCCCTGGAAAGCCCTAGGCAGGGACTTGGAAGCCTGAGGTCTCTTGGGGGCTCAGGGAGCCCTCAAAAGCTTTGCCTGGGGGTGCCCAGAGTATTCGGAGGCATTCAGGCGCCCTTATGGGGCTCCAGGGCCTTGGAAGCAAGGCTAAGCTTGGTGGGAGTCTGGAGGGAGGTCCAGAATCCTCAAGAGATCTCTCTGGGAGGTGGGTATCTCGGAGCCCTGGGGCAGCGCTTTTGAAGCAAGGCCCTCAGAAACCCTCCGTCTGGTGCATGGTGATCAATGGATATGGTCACCCATGGGAAATAAAAGGGGGAGACTATGTCACCTGGGAGGCGACTCCGTCTTCCTTCAGACACAACAGTGGTTGCCAAGCACATCTAGCCTCCCCCTCGGTCCTGCAGATGGAGGATCTGAAGCCCGGAGGGGACCATTCCGTCCAGAGGCCATGCCATCTCTCTCCCCTTCCTCCCTGCAATCCCTCCTCTCCACCAGGACCCCGTGGGGCTCTCGCTGCACAGCCACCCCCAGGAGGAGCCCTTGAGATCACGTGCCGAAATGAGATGTTGCGCCATGCCTCTGCAGAGTTCTGATGCCCTGATGATGGGACTCCTTGTTCTCCCCCATCCAGTTCACCGATTTGACCACCTGCCCCTATGGTCACAGATGAGCAGGCCACACCTCCTGCCCATGCCCACCGCCGACCATGGAGCATCCGTGTCTCAGCTCTTGGTCTAAGATGGCACAGGACAGATGCCGGGGGCCCAGGGGTGTCCCGGCCACAGCGGACTGGGTGCCATGGGAATCGGGGGAGTGCCTAGCAGCAAACGAAGGAGGCTGGGGCTCTGGGAAGGGTGAGAATATGAGAAGCCACTTCTTTCTGGTGTATTTGAAATGCACAAAAAAAGCCTGTTGGTTTTAAGAAAACACCCACCCCAGCCCACCTCACCCCACCCAAGTGCAGAGACTAGGATGCAGCAAGAAGAAGTGTCCGGGAGCTTTGGTAAAAAGGTTCCAGTCCTGGCCCTGAGCAGAGCTTACCCAGCAGCCATAGACAGCGGAGAGCCCCAAAGGCTCAGAAGACCACGGTGCAGGTGCAGGTGAGAGGGCAGGCCCTGCCAAGTCCTGCCACCTGTAGGAAGGAGCCCGTCAGAGCTGAGGTGCCAGGGTCCCGCCCAATGGTGGCCCAGGGGGTGCCTCTGCTTCCCTTTTGGGTGCCTGCCTCTCCGGGCTTTACTGCCCTCTACAGGCAGTGCGGAGCCCAGACGCACAGTGTGGCATTTTACCCCAGGTTTCCTTAGCACTTAATGTGAAGTGATAGTCGCTCAGTCGTGTCTGACTCTTAGCGACCCCTTGGACTGTAGCCCGCCAGGCGCCTCTGTCCATGGGATTCTCCAGGCAAGAATACTGGAGTGGGTTGCCATCTCTTTCTCCAACTCGATGTTAAAATCACATGTAAACTGTGAAAACTGTGAAGTGCCCAGAGCAGAAAACCTTGTGGTAATACCCAGGTGAGGAGCTGATTTACTGAAAGGGGATGAAACATTCCAGAGGGCTGAGAGCCTTTCCCTGTCATTAGACAACCAGCTTTCCAGCAGAAACAGCCCATCAAGCAAATGCCTCATTTCCTTCCCATCACTCTGCTCTTGGACACCACGGTTAGTGTCTGCTGGTCCCAGTTGAAACACCCAGAACTGACACGGTGCAAGCAGCCTCACCTGCGTTTCCCAGTGGGCTCTCTGTGTGACATTATTTTTTATAAGTACTTACAAGAGCTTCTGGTAACATGTCAGGGAGCGGGCACCAAAAGCAGAACACAAATGAGTCTATGGGTAGCCTAGGATCCCTATCTCAGGCTCAAAGGACGAAACTGACAAAGTCGGATGGCAATTCTGGAGACCCAAGGCCTGGAAACCTTTAGTAGGGGGGCAGCCCAACCCCTCCCCACGTTAAAGAGAAGAACCCACATGTTAAAAATAAATGGTCTTTTATTGTATCCACGAAAACAAACTCAGGGTGGCCTTTGGTTAATCCCCCCATGAGGTGACGACAAATAGGAGGCATGCGATGACCAAAACCGTGTTCTCCTCTCCAGGAGAAGGGTCTTGCCTTCCTAGGCCCAAAGGGTGACAGGAAAGCAGGGCCAGGAGGATCCAGAGGCAAGCCCACCCAGGCCCACCATGCTGCAGAGGGCCCAGGCCTGCTGCCTCCCTGGCAGGACAGGGAAGGGGTCAGCAAACATTGCCCCTGTCCTGGTAACCCCAAGCTAGAACACACAGAAAAGCCCCAACCCCCCTCCCGCATCAAACACTGATAAGGCAGTCAGCCAGGGCTTCCCAGAGGAGCTGGCCTCCAAGGTAAGAGGCCAGACCCTTAGGGCTCTGCCCAGAAGGGGTTGCCATCCTCGGCCTGCATGGAGTAGTAAACAAAGAGCAGGAAGGCAGCAAAGACCAGGAACAGCAGCACCTGGCCCCAGAGCGGGACCTGGCGATCCTGGCCCAGGCCGGCAGCCCCAGGGGCCTGCTTTTCAGGCCGGATGGCTCGGCGGGTGAGCCATGAAGGGGCCGAAGATGAAGACGAGGACACACTCGAGGTGGAGGAGGATGTGGGATAATAGGACAGGCCCAGGGAGCTTCTGGAGATGTTGGAAATAGGGCGGTAGTGTGCGATGTTCTGGTAGGCACTGTTCTGGCCATACAGGAGGTGTTCCCTGAGGCAAAGAGGGCAGCAGGTAGACCAGGAGGGCCTGAGCCCTGAATCAGCCCCAGCTCCTGGCTTGCCTTAATACTCACCGATCCTTGCCTTCCTCTTCCAAAGAGAAAAGATTGTCATCACGGACCGACAGAAGTGAATCAGAGTGAGGATACCTATTGGCGGGGTCGATGTAGGTATGACAGGTCATACCCTCAGTCCACACTACCCTTCCCAGCCTGTTCTGAACACTGCTTAAAGGCCTGGGCCCTGCCACCCTCCAGACCCCCTTCTTGGTCCCCAGCCTTATGTCTGCAGGGCCGTGCCACTTGTCCCGGCTGCCTGCATCCTACTTTGTGCCCCAGGATTCTCAAAAAGAGCTCAAACCTAGATCCCAGACCAGAGCCAGGGCACGTCCTGGGCACACTAGTCAAAACAGTTCTGACAGCCCCTTCCCCTCCCCAAAGAAAGGCCCTCACCAGGCAGGTGTCTGCAGGACCCGCCTCTCCCTGGAGGTTTCTGAGGCACCATTTGCGCCCAGTGGTCCCCTTGACTCATCCAAACCCCATGAGGACCCCCTCAGGTTGTACCCAAGTACAGGGTGCCCGACAAGTCAGCTCACCTGGCGGTGAAAAGGGTCAGCATCTGAGAGTGAAGCTGAGGGCTGGCGGAAGCCCTTGGATGTGCCCATAGACTCAGGTTCCCCATAAGTCCCGGTGGTCAAGTAACTCTCCTCATAGTAGTCATCATTATAGCCTTGGGAAGGGGGGGCAGCGGTAGCAGAAGAGGCAACGGTGTCCCTACCTGGCCCGATGGCCCTAATCTGAATCCCACTGGGGGGGCCTGCGACACGGTTTCTCCCCTCCAGGGCTACTGCAGGACGCTTGGGGTTGAGGTCTCAGGTTCTGGCTGACAATGGAAGGAAGGTGTCAGGGTGCCCATCCCACCCCTGCCTTACCCTTGCTCTGGTAGAGTAAGGCGTCCTCTTTCTTGGGCAGATCATACATATCCGAGTCCATGGACGCCGAATCTAAGTCTGAATGGGGGAGGGGCTAGGACCATGGCCCACAGGGGTCCCCTCCCGTTTCCCCCGCGCCCCTTCCGGCCAGTGCCCCGGCCACACCCCCGCGACCCCTTTCTCAGAGTCACCCAAACCGTGTCCCCAAGGGCGGCCAGGCAGGGCCCTGGGACGGAAGCCTCACCCGAGAACCGATAGGAGAAAGAGGATGCAGACGAGCTCGGGGGCGAGAGCCTCCGCCTCTGGGTCTCATACTCAAGGATTTTCTTTTCGTAGAGCTTGCGAGTGGAACCTGATCAGACGCGGGGCACAGGGCGGTCAGGGAGCGGGCCGCGGGGCTAAGCGCGGGGAGGGGGCCCGCCCTCCGTCCACCGCGTACCAACGACGGGCCCGTGTGGGATGTTGTACTGCGCAGCATGGCGGCCAGCTCCGAGTCCGACAGGACTGCGTGGTCGTCCATGGCGGGCAGCGGACGGCGGAGGCCTGGGCCTAGCGACACCGGCCGAGAGACGATGTCCTGGGAGCGCGGCGGGGGCAACAGGAGCGCCTCGGGAGCGGCTACGCGCGCGTCACGCCCGTGTCACAGCCGCGGTCTTGGCAGGCAGTGCGCGCTGCGCGGAGAGGGGCCGGGCCTCGCGAAGAGGCGCCAGCACAGATTGGTGGGGCCTTGGGAACGGGCGGGGCGGGGCGGGGCTCGCGAGCCTAGACGTCACCCCTCCCGGGTGGGAGGGGCCGCAGCTCAAACGGCGCAGATGGGCCGGGCCGTGGGGGTGGGCGGAGCTGGCGAGCCCAGAGTCGTCACACGCTGGCGCATTTAGGCCCGGACGCCAGCGAGGGGCGGGGCCTGGGTGCAACGGGAACTAGCTTAGACCCGCCCCGACTTGGGAGCGGGGCGGGGCCCGCGAGCCGCGACGTCACCCGCTCGGCTATTCGGGTCAGAAGGGTGGAGGGGCGTGGCCTGTGGCCGTGCAACCAGCAGAAACTGGCCAGGATGTGGGAGCTGGGCGGGGCTAGCCCTCCGTGAGTCACGTGGACTCCACTAGGTCCCAACTGACCCGTCTGCACCGAGCTCCGGCGCTCGGGGGTTCCTGGCCTCGCCCCGGCCGGCCGGCTCGCCGGCAGCCGAGAGAAAGGGTCCGATCTGAAGGGGCGAGCCCTTGGAGAGCGTGGGTCTGGACTAGGCGCCGCTGCCCGCGCTGGGCGCGCGCGTGCCACGCCAGGGAAGCCCGTAGCCACCCGACCCTAAGCCACCCCCCAGACCCCCAGACCCCCTGCCCCAGCACGCCTTCCCGCTCTGTGGGACCCTGGCCTGAGCCCGCAGGTCCCCACCGCCTCCTTCCCTCCCTGCTGCACCCCGGAGGAAATGGGGCACTGGGCCAGGAGGCCACCGGCGCTCCAGAAGCCAGCAGCCTTGGAAGGGGCCCGGGCATGCCAATGGGCACTGGCACGGGGCGCCCAGTGATGCGATGCATGCAGAGATGGCGGGTGCCTGCCTCACCCACCGGCAGCCCACTCGAGGCGCGAGGGGCTTCCCCTCCGTGACTGGGCTGGCCCCTGAGCCCAGCGTGACCCAGGAGACTGCCAGAGGGACCTGCCCGAGGCTTCCAATAATGTGCTCTGAGCACCTGGGTCTCAGTGGGCTTCAGGGTCATGGGAGTGCAGAGGGGGCCTCCCGGACAAGGGGCCAGGGGACTGAAGCAGGCAAACCATGGAAGGCAGCTGGGACCTGTCACAGGGAGTTGGTGAGAGCCTTGGTCAGGAAAGAGCTCTCCCACGAAAATTAGGAAGGAGATGACAGTCACGTTCTAACAAAGCCAGCCAATAGAATGAGGGGAAACTGAAGCGCCCCTCCCAGAACTGGGATGAAGGCTGGCAGACTGGCCCAGCTGGTGAGGGTCACAGCCTTGGTCTCAGCGAAGGTTCGTTCATGTGGTGGAGAGAAGATAGGGCCCTGGTTTAACCATGTACGAAGCCCCTCTGCTAGGTTGCTGTTGGCCAGGTTTTAGAGATGAGGATTTCTCCACCTCCCAAAATATGAGGGCCCCACGTATGCATGGTCGGATGAGGGGCAGCGCCCTGGGCAGGGCAAGGGTCTTGCTGCTTATCTCCAAGCAGGGAGGGAGATGACATTTGGGATTGGGCTCCTCAGAGCCGATCCCGCGGAATTTGGAGTTTGGGCCAGATCAGATTCCCCAGCACCTCTCTAAGCCTTCTTTTGCAGTGCTGGCCCCTGTCCCGGAGGCCGGCCTCCCCTTGCCAACCGCCCTCCCCCCCCCATACAGAACCCAAGCCGTTTCCTTATGAGGTCAAGGAATTCTAAGTTTGCCTTCTCCTCTGGGAGCAACCCCTCCCCAGCACCTGCCTTGGCCCTCTGCCTTGTATTTCCCTCTCCCCCAGTTGCCCCGCTATGAGGTCCCACCACAGATGGCATCACACAGCTGACCTGTGATGATCTCCTGCACACGAGACCACCTGGAGCCCCAAGCCAGTCCCACTGCAGGCAGACCTGTCTCAAACCACCAGAAACCAGGCAAGCCCTTGACCATCAGAGCTGAGAGGCCCTTGGCACCGATGCCATCACATTGAGGAGGAATTAGGGGCCCAGAGAAGGAAGAGACTTGTGCAGGGGCACCCAGTGTAGCAATTCATTCATGGATGTTCCCCTAGCCAGTACCTAGCCGTCGGGGTCATAACTTGGACAGTGTGGCCCATTGAGGGTTCCGAGTCAGCAGAGGAGCTGTTAGTGGAAATCTGGGGCCTTGAGGGAAGTCTTCCTGGGAAGAGTGGGCAGAGTTAAAAGGAGGCATTTCTCTGGAACTGTAGCTGGGGCAAAAAGGCTTGGAAGCCACTGATTCCAAGTCAGTAACAAGAAGACAGTTTCTCCTTTAAGGACTGGGATTCTAAGCAATAGACTATGTAACTTGTGATCCTAGCAACATCAAAAATTGTAAGGAAAAGTAATATCAACATGAATACATTTCTGAACAGGTCCAAGGAGACGATTATTCACTGAGCGATTAATATTTTAAGATCAGAACCTGAATCCTTTGGTACAATACAAAGCTTACCTTTTCTCTTCAAGGATGTTAAAGATCCTCTGAGTTTGGCCTGGCAGTCGAATGCTTTAAAACATGGCTCAGATGGTAACAAAGGTTGTAAGATGGTGACTAGCGTGAAAATGACCATGTGGAAGGATGCCACAATCAATATATAGCAGGGAATGGTTAGCCGACCAAAGCCTCTCAGATGACACCTTGTGTTCCGGTCCTAGGACACATCAGTCTGCCTTGGGACAGTCAGCATGGCAGCAGGAATGGAGCCACTTCTAGTGCTTTTGTGGAACCTTCAACACAAAGTGGTGGTTTAGTCGCTAAGTCATGTCCTACTCTTGCGACCTCATGGACTGCAGCACGCCAGGCTTCCCTGTCCATCACCAGCTCCTAGAGCTTGCTCAAACTCATGTCCATTCAGTTGGTGATGCTATCCAATGCCCAATATGCTACTGGAGATCAGTGGAGAAATAACTCCAGAAAGAATGAAGGGAGGAAGCCAAAGCAAAAACAATACCCAGTTGCGGATGGGACTAGTGATAGAAGCAAGGTCCGATGCTGTAAAGAGCAATATTGCATAGGAACCTGGAATGTTAGGTCCATGAGTCAAGGCAAATTGGAAGTGGTCAAACAGGAGATGGCAAGAGTGAATGTCGACATTCTAGGAATCAGCGAACTAAAATGGAGTGGAATGGGTGAATTTAATTCAGATGACCATTATATCTACTACTGTGAGCAGGAATCCCTCAGAAGAAATGGAGTAGCCATCATGGTCAACAAAAGAGTCCGAAATGCAGTAATTGGATGCAATCTCAAAAATGACAGAATAATCTCTGTTCGTTTCCAAGGCAAACCATTCAATATCACGGTAATCCAAGCCTATGCCCCAACCAGTAACACTGAAGAAGCTGAAGTTGAACGGTTCTATGAAGACCTACAAGACCTTTTAGA